TTGTTAGAATTAGGGCTAAATCTTGTCCTATTATTTGACCCACCTGGATAACCTGGACCCCTGTGTGTAGATGAGTGAAACTTGGCTGAAATCTGTGTATGGTTCAGGTTATAAAAGGGAAGGAATGGAAACATGGGTTTTCATAATCATGGTGACATTGTTCAGAGACTCAGTGTGCTGTTAAAATCTATTTAAAGTCTACACAGTACTTGCTTTCCCTTTCATACAAACACAAATGTACATATTTAAATGAAACACTAAAAAAAGTATAAGTTATATATGTGTGCACTTAGTTTTAGTGTCGTTTGTTCTCTATATTTGAAAGGCATACTTCTCTAACCCTTTCTGCAGCACAATGCTGACAATCAGATTTTTATTTTTTGCGGAAATGAATGTTAAATCATGTTTCAAAGCAATAATGATGCAGTCTAAAATAATTCCTGAAAATAAAATAGAATATGAAATTAATGGAATGAGTAATGGAATGATGAAAAGTATAAGTCAACCAATCTGGGCTTTTTAGACAGGCTACTTTCTCCTTCTGGCTGTGGCTCCATGTCCTTGTAAAAAGTCCTAAATGCAGTCTGCTGCAGGGAAGAGCTCCTTTATGGCTGACAGCTATTCAAATGTGTGATTCATTACGATCCAAGCTAAGCTGGGAACATCATGATCAAGCGGGTTTTTAGCATAGCAGAAGTCATAACTCAACCTGCACTGCTGCAGGATGAAGTCTGTCTGACATCACACATGAGACTTAAAAAGAGCTGATTCATAAAGAAATCCTTAATCATTAGAATTTCCTCCAGCACACACAGTAGCTGAGCACATGATGATGATGTAGTGTTAAATTGACCTTATTAGTGACATGAGGTTCTCTAATCATTTCTCAAATAATCGCTTGGAGGAAGCTGATCATTCAGAAATAGCTCTTGATTGTTTCTCAACATTGTTAAAAAAATAAAATTATGAAACCAGTAAATCAATGTTTCCCAACTTATTTGGAGCTACACAACATAACTTATATTTGAAAAATTCCACAGATGTATCACCAAACAAAAATGTCACAAAAACTATAAAATATAATGATCTTCTACTGACTCCATGTAAAACCTTTTTAGTTGAACACAGCGGAAGACACACACTATGATCTTCTTCAACAACTCTGAATCTCGCTCCTTTTTAAGTTTTTAATAGCCATCTGCTGCCACCTGATGGTAAAGTATCTAATTGTTTTGCCTGTCACTGTGACATAGACAAAGCAAGACAAGTTATCAGCAGTAACAAAATAATAATAATAATAATAATAATAATAATAATGAGGTGACAACCTTTGGTGCAGGCGTCTGGAGTGAAGGTCATAGTTGCAATAGTGGGCGTGAACGACTTTACAGATGGTGTTAAATACAAAAAAAGTTGAACTTATGTAAACTGTATCTTGTTGCTTTTTAAATAGCTGCAGCAGCAACTGTTAAACGTTGTTTAGAAATGCAATGAAAAAGTAATATAACAAAATAAAAGGCCCTTCTATCTAGAGTCAGACTTTATATTGCGGGTCATCAAAGATCAAAACTTTTTTACACTCTAAGACAATGGCTTTCAGTGTTAGCACACGCTGCCTATTAAATGTTATGGAAGACAGCTGTTTTTAAAAGTCGCAGGCAACAGATTTTAATGTATCAGCCATTTAAACTGAGTCCAGAATACTCCACAAACATTAAGTTGCCTTCTTTTTTTCTAACTCTTGTTCACAGAGCAGCTGTCTGTTAAGCTGTTTTTGTTCTTGTGTAAATTAAGGAAATCGGTTTATGGAAATTCCTTTTTAATGTTTGCCAAGAAAAGCTTGAATCTGCCAAAGTACTTGTAGTAGAGTATTGGTAATGTAGATTCAAGGTTAATTAAAGGATTACCTAGCTTAACTGTACCTGAATTTGGTCCTGGCTTTTACAGCAGGTCCAGGTCATCAGTACAAATCTGTGTATGTTTAGACCAATGACAGTTGATTGATCTTGAAGTCGAGCCACAGCAATGTATCACAGCCTAGAAAAAGAGGACCTCCCGCCTTCCCATCAGCCACCTGTGCTGCCTCTCGAAAAGAATTCAGTCTCAGCCAGACAGCACAGCAGGGGCAGTGACAACACCTTCAGTACTTACACATTTAGTATTAATAAACTTTGAATAAAGTATAGGTCTGTTCAGCTCTGTCTGTGCAGCAGAAAACTAGGCCTCGGGAGCTGTGAATTCCAAACACACCAAGCACAATCCAATTCACTAAAAGCTGCATTTGAGAGCCTGGTGGCGAGATGAGGAGTCCTCCAAATAAATTCATAATAACAGAGAATGCAAAGCAAACTCCAAGTAACTGTCAGCATTAATGGGTTTGATCATTCACACACCCACATGGATTGCGTTCTGAAGGCTGCTGCCCTAGAACCGAGAGTGTCATTGGTTTCAGCCGAGTAAATCCTGGCCTTTTTTCAAGGCTGCAGAGACTCGGTGACATCCCTTTATGTCAGATTAATATTACAGTGGTTACTTGCTGCAGGCCGTAGGGTGACACTTACTTTTTTCAGAGTGGAGATGGAGCAATGAAATGCACAACAGCAGGGAAAATGAGCAGGGAAATAAGGGATTACGGCTCCTTAATGCAAATGAATTGAGGAGCATCTTAAAAAGTGTTACCGCAGGCGATAGCAATCAACGATCAGAGTCGGGAACTAAAAATGCTTGGTCCACATTTTAATACATTGGCATGACCAATCGAGCACGTGAAGACATTTTATTTTTTTACACTTGCGTTGACTATTTTGACCCTTAGCAGCAGAAGGGCAAGCTTAGTGTATATTTATAGATATAGATATATACTTGTACATACAGTACTGTACCTTACTATATGGTAAGAAAAAAAAATCAGAATGCATGCCCTTTTCCAGACAGTTTTTGACTGCAAAAAGTTTGCCTGCAGCACTCGGATAACTTATTCTTTTCTTGCTCGGAATGAACGACAGTTCAGGTGATGCTCTCTCTCACCATTTCATATTGAATTTATGAACAATCACCAGGCTGCTAGCATACACATCACACCTGAGGCAGTGGCTGTTGAACTATAAGCTAGATAGGTGAAAACTGTGCACCTCTTCTTCTGGATTTGATGGGATGTCACTGTGTGTGAGATACATCTGGTGGTTTGGGGCCTTACATACAAGCTGGAACTGAAATATAACAACCTTTAATAATTTAGCACCAGGATTTGGTTACAGTGTGCAACAGTATCAGAAACTAAGTGAGAAGTGAGTTTGGTTATGCAGCAAAAAATGGCATCCATGCCTTATGTACCATATTAAGACTGGGTCACAGGTCACAGGTTCAACTGGTCAACAGATGTTGACCTATTGAATAATTAGAGAAAACAACACTGTGTGATATGTTCAGACACTTTTTAACGACTGCAAGACAGAAGGCAAGGAAATGTATGTAAATTTAAAAGATTTTTTTTTCAATACAAAAGTACAAATATATAAATTAATATTCCAA